ACCAACAACCAACAACCAACCACCAACCACCAACCACCCAACCACCCAACCATCCAACCATCCCACCACCCACACCACCCAAACCACCCAACCGACCAACCTGCAGAACCAAACCCAACCTAACCCTAGCCCCACATGTCGGCAAGATCTCGAGAAGGAAATGCACATTACGGAAAGCAATGCAAGGCCACCCGCATCAAGAACCTTGATATACAAGTAGAATCCCTTGCGAGACATGCTCCATGCCTTTCTGCTTTTCCAACTATTCGAAATGGTGGACAAATCGCGTCCAACGAAGTCACGGCCGAAGGAACTGAACCTTCCGTAGCCCATCCCACCCCACCCCCATCCCAACCCGTCGTGACCCAAGCCACCCACGCCAACCTTCCCCGCCCTAGCCTGAGATTGTTTTTGGACCTGCTTTGGTTAACTCATTCTATTTAGGTTAGGTTGGCTCAGGTCACGGTTGGGCTGGGGTGAGGCCATTCCAGTTGGCTCAAGCCGTTTGAGGCCCAAACCCTGGTTTACAGGTGGGTGCGGGAGTGCACTGCACAGACAGTGGTAGGCGCCGTAGGATCTGTAGTTGCTCCCTCCGGTGGTTTAACCACCTTGGTCACGGAGAAGCCGTATGCTGTTTGTGCGGTGCATGGATGTACCAGCAACAAATAGACCAAGGTGTGACACACTGCACGGAAACCCGTGGCCGAGGACGGTAAGAGGCCCGAAGGAGCCTTGGAACCTGTCGGAGGTCGCCTGGCCAAAATGGCCCAAAGAAGCAGAGACCAGGAAAGAAGCAGCGAGAGGCCAGGAAGGCCCTAATCGGGTGGAGCACACTCAAGGGGATGGAGGTTCCTACCTCCCACAACCTTCGAGGGCTCCCCTCGCAGGGGCTCAGCCCCCGCTGCAGCCACCTTCCCCCAAGCCCCTGAGGGTTCCCCTCGCAGCAGCACCTCCTTTGCAGCCCCCTGGCTTAGGAGGAGGACCCAATGGAGGCAAAGGTAAAGGCAAAGGCAAAGCTCCAGCAAAAGCTAGCGGTAGCGAGGAGTACCAGCAGGCTGTCAAGGAGTTGTGGGAGACTGCCGACCCGGTGCAACACGGCCTTTTGGAAAAGCTGGGAGTTCAGAAGCCAGAAGCGCCCTCTAAAGACTTGGGCGAACTGTGCAACATGTACTTAGAGACGCTCCCGGAAGAGATCCAGCAAGCAGTGCAGGCAACGGAGCCGAAACTCACACCATAGCAACAGCTTACGGAAGCCTGGCGAAAGTTCAAACTTGGAGCACAGAAGCTAAGAACCTTGATCACGGACAAGGCGGCCCTGCAGACCAAAATCGACAGGCAAAGGAAGGAGTACAAAAAAACTTGAAGGCCATGCAAAAGCTCATGCAAGAGGAGACTGAGCAACAGGCCAACCTGGCCCTCCTGCAGAAGGAGCTCCAATTCACTGTGCTTCAGCCGGCGCCCACTACCCTGGCGGACGAACTGACTCAGGCACTAAGCAGGTGGGGGTCACGGAAGAGCAGCTCGAGGCAACGAGGGGTCTCCTCGCAGAAGCCGGCGCCAAGACCATCGAACCGGTGCAGGAAAACCCTTTCAAGTTTGGAGCACCGCCGTCACCGGCACCTACGGAACCGAAAGGCGAGGGCAAAGGCGACAAGGACCTTTGGTTACCCGCGAAGCACACAACGCCTCCGCGGCGGCAGTGTGCCGAGTGGCATCCGACAGGCCCCAAATGGTTCCCTCGTCTCCTGGAAGAGGATATCGCTAAGCCGGGAACCGAGGTTATATCCTCAACAGCGGAGGCAGAGCCCTCAAAGTTGCTACCTTTGCACCCCTCTCCCGAGGGCACACAACGCCCTGGTGGACGAGCCCACAAGTCTCCTTTTACCCTGTCTAAGGTGGCAAAAGATATCGGTATGCGCAGGAAAAACGCAGCGCAGCGCGAGCCCTGGTTTCAGGACCCAGGCCGGGAGGGTTCCCCTCCGTGCAAGGAACGCATGAGACGGAGGAGCAGACCCCTGTCCCCCGCGAAGACGCTCAGTCAAGCGACAAGAAGCCGCTACTCCTGCAGACGAAGCAGCAGAACCAACGCCCGAGGCCCTAAACACCCTAAGTGCAGGGTGGAAGGAAGTGTTCATCCTCCTTACAGGCCCGGAGACAAAGGCAGAGAAAGATCGCCTCCTGCTACAATTCATAGAGGCCCATGAAGACCAGTGACCAGCAGGAAGCAAGAGCGAGCTTTGGGCAAACGGTGTCTGCGAACACCTGTGGGACGACCACCCCAGCCAAGACTACCCGCAGGACGCTTACGACCTCCTGCGCCAACTCGTGAGTGATGAGGAACAGGAAGGGCTCTCCTCCTTTCCCCGACCGCAAGATTCGCCAACCACATCAGAAGGCCACAGCAGCGGAGGAGGCCTTAACCTCGTCTTCGCCAACACCCCCTCCCTGAGCCCAGGCGTCCTCAACTGGGTGGTGGCCTCGCGGACAGAGGTGGTCGCCCTCCAGTAAACCCATCTCACAGTCGAAGCTTGGCACGACCGCCAGTGTGCCGCTCAGACGCTAGGGTGGGACTTGATTGGAGAGCCAGCAACACCAAGTGTCGACCCCTACACACGAGGAGGTGTAGCCCTAGCCAGCCCAACCCCAACTGGCATGTGGTCTATCCACCAATACCAAACCGAAGGTGCGGGTTTCTGTGCTGGAGGCATCCGTAAGGAAGAAGCGGACCTGACTGTTATAAGCCTCTACCTGCGTGACGGTGAGAGCCTTTCAGGCCCAACTAACTCCAATGTCCTTGCCCGCCTAATCACCTTCTTGAAAAACACCCCAGAGCCCTGGATTCTAGGAGGTGGTTGGAATGTCGAGCCGGAGGAAATCGAGTCCACGACCCTCCTTCAAACCATGCGAGGAACACTGGTCGCCTCGGGGGAGGCAACCACCAATTGGGGGTCTGAGTTAGATTTTTCGAGGTTTATCCTCCGTCGCCAGTGCCTCGGTAACTTGGGATGTCCCTTGGAAGCCGCACGCAGCACTCCTGATGCGGTTGGAGGGCTTTGAAACAGGATGGTCGGGCTAGCGACCTCCTGCCTTCCCCAAATTGGCTACACCTGAACCGCCTCCCGCCCCGACGTGTTGAGCATCATGGGAAGCAAGGTTGAAAAGACCGACCAGGTCACTCGTACCCTTGGAGACTGGGCTTCATCATGAAGACGGGTGGCTGGGGACCGCTCAAGCAGAGCAGACCCACACAACCAGCCTTCGCCACCCAAATTGGGTGGTGGACGCGACTCCAGCGTGTTGTGACAAAAGCTGGGCAGCCCCCAGCCTGTTTCCACAAGGAGGTGTCTATCCTCCTCAGAGGATGCAGAGCGAAGGCAGTACATCGAGCGGCTGCTGTGTGAGGCCAACCCGACCCAGAGCACTCTCCAGGCACACGGTAAAGAAATTGAAGCCAGACTGGCGAAGCAACTCGCAGACTTGGCTGCTGACCAGGACAACGCTATAAGGACTGGCTCCAGCAGGGAGCTCAAGGTGGCATGCGGCCCCTTTACCGAGCCATCAGTAAAGCCGAACGCGTGGTCGTCAGATCTTTCAGAGAGGTTCCAGCCTCTGAAAGACCCAGCGCGCTACGTAAGCAGTGGGTGGCGATCTGGGGCGAAGCCAGCGAGGCCCCAGGCATCAACCAGACCCTCCTTGAGGCCGCCAAGAAGGAACCCCTGGCCCCCATCACGGGCCCCCTCTTGGGCCAGATACACAAAAAACCCGGACAAAGCTGGAAGTTTAGATGGCTTGGCCTGCACTACCCTGAGGGCGTTACCCGCAGAAGGTTTGGAAGGTTTAGCCTCCGCCCTCAATCTGGCAGAGGCCACCAGCACAATTCCCCAACAGTGGGCTCACCACCAAGTTCCTAAAGATCAAGAATAAGAGCGGCCGATCACTTTAACTTCCATCACGTACAGACTTTACTGTTTGCCAGAAAGGAAGTTATCAACAAGTGGCACCGCCCCTCTTTTCCCATGGGACCAAGCAGTTCCAGGAGGCACGTGCCTCGAGGTCGGCCTCCGCAACCTCTTGCGCGGAGAGCTTGCGCGCACTTCTGGCAGACATGCGGTGGCCCTTCTGCTGGATTTGCAAACCTTCTACGACGGGATCAACCCTCCAGGCAGGTTTCCCAGCCGCCGTGGCCTGTCTGGTTCTCCAGACCTATCAGGGTAAAACGATACCTTGTGGTGGAGGACCAGCTGTCCCAAGGCATTCTGCCCCAGAGGGGCATCCTGGCGGGATGCCCTTTTGCCACCATGATCGCCAGGGTTTACCTCGGACCTGTGCTCAGGGAAGCCCGTGCGATGCCTGGCGTTGACAACGTCGACACCTTTGTCGACGACGTAGGAGCCGATTTTAGGGGGTAAAAATCCTGAAAGGGTTGCTGAACCAGCCCTGTGGGGATGTAGGAGCCTGCGGAAGGCGCTCGAGGCCAGCGACCTGCTGCTGAGTCGTAAAACGACCGGCTTTGTCTGCTTCAGCGGCCAAGTCAGCAAGGAGCTGGCGAAACGCCGCGGCCCCGACGACCCTGGCATCTGTAACAGCATGCGCGATTTAGGAATCGACTGCGCGCTCGGGCGTTTCAGGCGGCTCAAGCTACAGAAGGCCAGGTATGGGAAAGGAAAGTGGAGAAGCAAAAAAGCTCTGCTCCCTCAAGGTGCCCCAGCCGACGAGGCAACTTCGACTCTTCAGAGGAGGTGTAGCCTCCCCGATGTTCTGGGGCCACCAAGCCCAAGGTTTTTGGCACAACCCCCAGGGCCTTCGACCCCGTCACCACCAAAGAAGGCCAAGCCCGAGCTCTCATCGCCTTGGCAGAGACGATCGCGGAAGCTCGAGGGCATCGCCTCGCAGGAGTCCTCAAGGACCCGGCAATGCGCAATGGCCTAGATTGGGTAAGAGCACGGAAGTACCATAAAACCCTGGTCACCAAGGCGCCTCTCCAAGCCAAGGCTTGCAGGCCATCTGGCAGGCCTCCATCTTCCACGACCACACGGGAGGACTCACAACCTGCCCTCTGTGCGAGGAACCCTGCACCTGGGAGCATGTTGTCTTCCGCTGCAAATGGTGGGAGGACAAAGGCCTCGCCCTCCCGACCTGCAGGGTGGAACCAGGAAGCACAAGCCGCAAACCCAACGCTTTGGACGAGGGCTCTCCTCGCGCACCGCCAGGCCTCGCTCCCCAGCTGCCCAACACAAACCACGGCGGACGGAGTTTGAGGGTGTTTGGGAGAGCGGACGGACCATAGAGGGCAATGATTACTTCTATGCCACCGACGCCAGCGGTGGAGCTTACACGGCCGACCCACGCCTGCGAAGGGTTGGGGTCAGTGTGGTCGCTTTCAAGAAAGAAGGAGAACAGCTGGTGAGGATGGGCGCGTTACGTGCCCAGGTCCCCGACAGGCAGACTGTCTTCAGGGGCGAGCTCTACGCGGTCTGCTCTTCCGGTACACCACAGGGCCCCTAGACCTCACTTTGGACTGTTCTGGGTTCCCTAAAGGGTTAAGTCCCCCAAGCCGGGCAAGCAAAATGCCGAGCTGTGGGCCCAGGCCCAAGACTACAACCCACAGAGGGTCGCTGGACCTGGGTTCCGTCTCACAAGGATGAGGCCTACTTCTGCCAGAAGGTTGGCAAAGGAAACCTCTGGAGGGAGGAGGCAAACGAGATTGCTGACAGCCTCTGCGGCCAGTATGCTGCTACGCTGGGCCCTACCTCCGAACAGGTCTCAAAGGTGCAACGGAGGGAGTCCCTCCACCAGCGGGTCATGGAACACCTCAGTAAGAGGGGCCAGGTCCTTTTGTCGAGCCCAAACGGGGAACCGCATCCTGTGTACCAGGCCATTGCGCCGACAAAAAAGGATCAAGTGAGCCAAACCAGGCCTCCAAAGACCACTCGCCAGGCTGCCCCGCCCAAAGCAAAGCGGCCCACTTTGAGGAACTCATGGCCACGACCGAGGACCCCCACATTTGGGCAATGGATGGGCCAAACCTCCAGTGCACCGCCTGTGGGCTCAGCCTGCTCCATACCAAAACTACCGCTCCCTCGCAGACCGCAGCAAGGCCCCATGTTCAGCCCACTCCGAAGTTGTGCCCTCGGGGGTGCATGCTACGCATGACATGCAGCTTGCAAAGCAGCATGTGGAGGCCTCTTTTCCATTACCTCCCCGGACCGCGTGCCGGAGGTACTTCGGACATCCTGCCACTTCTCCAGGCGTTGGGGAAACAAGCCTGCAAAAAAGCAGCCCGTGCAAAACACCACTTTTGCCACGCTGTTTAGGAACCAGCAGGCAAAGCCATGGGAAGGCCCGCGGAGGCCGCAGGACACTCGGCGAATGCCGCCGTTGAAGAGGCCTGCAGCCTGATCGTCATGAGGTTTACCGTCATATAGGGCCAGTCTTTTGCTCCTGGAGGTTTATCCTCCGCACTTGGAGGGAACCCCGGTGCATCCGGAGTGTGGTCACACCTCTGTTGGAGGGAACCCCCCGGTTGGTCCGGAGAGCAGTCACACTAACCTCGAGTAGCTTAGAAGCCGTGAGAGGTACCCAACTGGGGTAAACCCACTCTGTAGCCCTGACCTCAGGTAGCCAAAGGCGTAAACCCTGTCGCGCGAACCTCAGTATCCAGAGTTTGAAAGTCCGACCCCTAGACAAAAACAAATGAGGCCATTCCAGGTCAGGTCGGGTCGCGGTCGGGCAGTTGGGTTAGGTTGGGATGGATTGGGTCAGGTGGGGTCAGGCTTGGAGGGTCGGGTTTGCTCAGATTGGGCTCTCGGTTTCGGTAAGGTCTCGATTTAGGTTAGGTTGGACTATGCTGGTTTAGGCCCTGGGTTGTGTTAGGCCGGGTCAAGTCCTGGACTGGTCAGGGTTAGCCCAGATGCCTTCTTGGATCAGCAATCGGGCTGTTTTGGTTGAAGCAGAAGGCATTGTGGTTAAGCAAGCGGAATGTTTTGGTTGAACCATCTGCCGTCTTAGCACCACGTGGTATCCTGTCAACACACGCAGTGGTGTAGGGTTCGGAATGGGAGTGCCTTGATTTAGGCTAGGTTGGACAAGGTGAGTTTGGGTGTCCTCAGACTTGGGTTGGCTGGCCCAACTGTTGCAGACCCGACCTAACTGTAAAGGAAACCACGGCAGCAGGTGTGAGAAGCTTGGTTGTGACTTTGGCTTTTTGGCTGTGCAATTGTGTAATCATCTCTCTTGGTTGCTAAAGAATCCGTTTTGGTGGTGTAAGAGTGGTTGATTGATGAATCGGTTCTGACCCGGGGAGCTACCTCCGTCCCCCACATCCGGTGCCGCAAAGCCACATCAAAGATTTTCTCCAAGTCATTCTCTGGGTCGACAGGTTTGTTGACCTTCGAGGATGGACATGTGTCAACGGAACAGCAAGCACCCTACGATCCCTACAACAGCAGCCGTAGCAGCTCAAGTCCCATGACAGATATTGATAATATTGTCGGGCCTGAATTGAAAAGCTTCTGCCGGAGCCATGTGAACTCAAGGCTCCGCTGTACGCGGCTAGTGGGGCTGCCTCGACAGTCAGATCAGCTCAACACTACACACGTGCAGTTGGCCGAATGCTGCCTTCCTAAGCCAAGGGCCAAATCAACATGTGGCAGAAAGTTGGTGGCCACAACGCCACACCGCCGTAGGAGGCCATCGGAAAGGGCTTCAACCAAACCCTCGCCCCTGCACAAATCATGATGAATTCGGCCGTCTGACTGTGCCCCGTCACCTGTTCCACAAAGCTTCAGGCACGTTTCCATCTGGATCGTATGCATCGACGAGAACCTCAAGAGATCTCAAGAAGTCCATAACTTCAGCAACGACACGATGCAAACCTGTCTAATCTAGACAGGCACGACTACCATTTCGCCAAGCATCGGCATCATAGACTCCAACGTCTGTGGCTCCTTCCTGACAGTAGTTTGGGGGCCCTTTCAATGCTCAAGCATCTGCTGGCAGGACTTGCAGCAAGGTAGTCGCTTCCGCTCAGAATCGATCCTGGACCTTCCTCTGTGCGAAAGTGACTCCGTCCTGCGGCTCAAACTACGGCACGGTTCATTACCTGCATGTTCACATCCTCCAGGAAGACCCGCAGATTCGGCCACTCACGAAAGCCCATGCCCTGCACTGCATAAGAGTGACACGGACAGAGTAGTTGCTGTTTCATCTGGTTTCTGACATCCGCACCTCCTTGGCAGCGTGCACCACCTTATGTACATCTGGGCAGCTACACAGTGCTGCGAGCAGCCTTGGTCTTACCATCTGGTCCTTAGAGCTGAGGCGGTTGCAGCAGGCTCCAATTCGACGACATCGACCTGGCAGTGAGGTAGGCTCTCCGCATAGAAAGACCTTACCGAGTCAGACAAGTCTGCCCAGCTACTGAGGAAAGCAAACTGTCGAGCCAAACAAGATGATAAGACCCCCGCGGAACAGTGCCACCGCCCAGTCCAATACAAAGGATGCGCAAGGGCTCCTGTTGTGAGCACTGCAAAACTTCTGTTACCGACGGAAGCACCCGCGCGAAGTGGTCCTTGGCCTTCATGGCCTTTCTTGGCAAGACTGGGGCACCCATGGCTGACAAAGCAGCCAGGACGACGGTGGCAAACGACTGCCCAAAATGAGGCTGAAGCTTGCAAAGCCGCTATTAAAAAGCCAACACTCCAGCTGTTGCCTTGGTGTAGGCCAGTGGCACCACATGGCCTCTGACTCTAACGCGTACGCCCTGATTGCCAACCTAGTCCAAAGACCAAGTATCCTCACCAAAGAGACAGCTTGCCTTGAATCCGTGGAAGCTGGTCGTCGTTTGGATAGACGACCACCTGAAAATCGATGGAGGAGGTCCGTAGGCGTCAAAGGTCCCCATGCTGAAAAGCCTGCCTTCGTCACACTCTGTATCAGGCCTCCGCCTTCCATTGTTCAGGTGAGTACTCAAATATTTGCAGTTTCCCTGTTAAACATGTACCGGTGTAGCAGGGCTAGGGTATGTTGAGTTTGGATCTACCCAGAAGCAACGCGTAAAGAGGTTTGGCTTTTCACGGTGCCGTTTGAAACCTCGCCGGCACGAGTGCAGAGAAGGACAAACCTCATGGGCACATCATGTCGGCCTCTTTGGACCCTTAAAACTCTAAACCCAACGCTTATGCAAGGAGACTATTGTTTTTGCATGGAGATTATTCGATTATTTGATACAGGCTTATGAACAGTACAGTTTTCTACAGACTTTCCTGATCCTCATGGACATCGGAGAGACTGCCCAAAACTGCACTCTTCACCCAAGACCAACAGCCGCTGCCGTTCCTTACAAACTGTGCAAATCCCAGGACACAAGTCCGAAAGCGTCAACCCCGGAACACCTCAATCCGAAATCCGAAAACTTAAGCACAAGGCCGCTAGCCAGGAATCAAGGCTTCATTCTCATCCTCAACATCGAATGCGGGATTGTCACCACCACAACCCCAACCAAAGCCGTCATCGACACCACCAACACCATCAGCAGCATTAGCCAGCTTCAGTATTCACAGCAGCCTCACCATGATGATCAGCATCACCAGGGTCACACGAGAGCGGTGTTGCTGAGACAAGACTGAACGCGGCAAAAGTGTTTGCTGAGGTTCGCAGCTGAGAGGATGTGATGTCAGTGATGGGGGTAGGAGGACAAGGCTCGCCTGTACCAAGGCTAGAAGTCGAACTCCCTCACGGTCTTTTTGGTCATGGGCTCTGGGTGCCCAAGTGGCGGAAGGTATGTGTCCCATCATCCTTCACAAGCTTTCCGCCAAGACGCTGCGAAGGAAACGAAGGCAACGCCATTCCTGAGTGCGACAGCGTTCACCAGCGCAGCGGAGTGCACCGAAGGAGCCGAGGCAGCCGAGGCTCCTGGAAGGAGCCCGCGGGTGCTCCAGGTGGAGCCTGGCTCTCGGAAGCCTTGTGAGCGGTGACCTGCAAGTGGCACGGCATGCCCTTCAAACGGAAAGAAAGCCATGCATGCCATGCTGGCAGGATTGGCATCAGCTTCGGGAGCAAGGGTTGTGCAGCGTTGCGCGGCTCCTGCCTGGAGTGTCCCGCCGTTGTCCAGAGGCAGCTCAAGAATTTTCTTAGCGGTGGCAGGTTGTGCTCCGGCTTTCTCGCATCAAGGCAGCTCAGGGCAGCACTCTGCCTGGAGCAAAGTACCTGCAGGTCGATGCTAGTCTTCTGAGCTCGTAGTGAGCCTGCTGTCTTGTTCGTAGCTTTACTCAATGTGGGACACGGCCGTCCTCACGCACCCCAAGCACTCGCTTCAGATGCAAATAGTGTAAGTTTCGGTCTCCAACCTTCAACAAAGACCTTGGGGATTGGGGGGGATGGTAGGAAAAGTTCACTTTTTTTCCGGACATTCGTGGGACAGTGGAATGCGGAAAGGAACAAAGGCAATGCTCTCGGGGCACTCAGTTATCAGCTCCTCACGTCCGGGATCCAAGGCTCTGGAGGAAGAACGTGTTCGTCGAACCTGCCCAGGATAAGTCTTGTGCTGTGCCAATGGGCAGCTCACTGTAAGGAGCAATCTCCTGCAGCAGTTTTGGCTCTGCGAGTTCGCTTTACTATGGTGAGGTGGCAACTTTGGCCAGCAGAATGCTTCGCATTCACGAGACATGCATGGTTGACCTACGTTCACCGATCGTACACCATGTTCTGAATCCGTTGTTCATACTGCTGCTCATTGCGTTTATGCAACAGAAACGCAAGGTCACATGGAGTAAGCAAGAAGATGTGCAAGACTTTGTTGCAATGACCGAGCTCGGGCCGTGATCACCTTCCAGGTTCAATATGGACTTGCACGGCCAGTTACATGCATTTCAGCACCAGCAAGCTCTATCAAAGACGCATCTGCGACAGTCAAAAGCGGCTTTCCAGGAAGGACTCACACATAGTGCCCGCTTTGAGCGTGGTACAGTTCGCAAACTCCTGAGTTTTCCGCAAGCCCCACACAATCACCAAACTTGACGGTGGAAGTCACAGGGCCATGAAAACACGTAAAATCCTCACGAACTGCCAGGATTGTTCGATGACTGTTGGGCTAGGATCAAACTGAACCATGCCGTCTCTGAGGACGACGACTGGGTGCACTTGGTGCCAAACGGGATCAGGAAGCACTTGATGCATTGCATTCAAGCACGCCTTCACTTCTTAATTTCCGCAATGAACCGGGTCAGTCTTGATTCTTGACCGTTGGCACGATCACGGCGCATTCAATCGACATCTACCTCGTTCTCAACGACCGTCAAATGCATAAACAAAGCTACCTACCGACGTTCGAAGTGCAGTCTCTGAAACCGCGGTCGTTTGCCTGGCATGCTTTGGAAACCTTTGGAATACTTGACATTCTGAAGGGCGCAGATTCTCCGCAGAGTGGAGGCACAGAATGAGCGTTAGGAAAGCTCGGGCTCGCAGTACAAATGTAGTGACCCGGTCATGTGACTAGGAAAATTGCCTCAGAAACGGCAGCTTGGCCTGACATAGAAGAAGCTCCCCCTACTACGGCCCAAGGCGAAGAGTGAGCCTGGAGCATGGCGTCGTCTCTCTGAGAGGAAACTCCTGGAACGCACAGAGCACAAAAACACACAGACTGCCCACGTCAGGGATACTTCTGAGGTCAGAACAAGACGGCACTCGAGAGCAAGAGGTGTCATTTCTCGGACCTTCAGTTTGTGGAGCTTGCTGCTTGATGGGGCAGGGTACTTGTGAGGAAAACCGTGTGACATAGACATAGTGCTACATGCAGGCACCCCGGCTCTCGGAGACATGTTGTTGCTTCGACAGACTCAACCGCCGGAGACACCGAGCTGCTTAAAAAATCAACAGCGCAAGTAGAGAATGCACATGCGACTTGGAGAGGATCGGCCGCTGTCAGTTTTGCATGTCACCACGGCATTGTAGATTATGGAACTCCTGTTTTTGCAGGTCGACAGAACCGGCGTTCCAGCAAGACCCTGAATCCGGGTAGTTTGCTCGTTCTCGGTATCCGTCGTCACAGGTGACGCTGCAGTCGCCTGGCAGAGAACAGGTGGTGACCGATTGTGTCAAACCTCAGCAGTGGAACGAACATGCCGTGCACGCCCCATCCAGACCATGCTGACCTGAGACTTGCGAGAACAGACCATGCAACATGAGAAGTAGACACTGCCAGCACACTTATCAGGCATGTGATATCAAGCTTCCGGACACGAACTCTTCAACGCTCGCTTCATGGCAAGGCATCGTGTCAAGAAACTTCACTCTCCTGCACAGACACAGATTGAGCAGGATCGAGCTTAGTGGTGCTTCGACCTGCTCTGCTGGCTGACTTCGCAGTGAGAATAGTCAGCGGCAAACCTGTAACGAGACACGGCAAATCAAGGTCAACCTCCGCACCACGGCGCGCGACTAGCCTGCGTCGTCGTGTCTTCACTCCGCCACCGCACTTGTTGCAGGTGTCTGCCCAGGAGCTCCTGCGAGGGCGAATGGAATCTCCTGGTTTGCACCAAGTAGGAGCTCTGGGCCCGTCCAATCAGTCAGAGCATCTGGGCTGTCACATTCTCCAGCTGCGGGGAGCACCTGGCAGAACACTCTTGTTCGAGAACTTTTGCTCTCAGAGTTTCTGCTCAGCTAACGACGTCGCAGCCAATGTCCGCATTTACACCTGAAGATAAAGACACAGACCGGCCTAGTTCAGAGACCAGATATGTTGATCCCTAAACCCAAATTGCAGTCTACAGAAAGGCGCGCGCATGGGTGCGCCGTGGCTGCACCCCGTCGTCTTTTTCGAAGTTCAGTCCCCAAGACATTCGAACCCGCCAAAATCCCTTTGCCCAACTCCGGCACGAGTTTTCTTTGGCTTGTCGGTCTATGGACATTTACGGAGTCTACGGTCTCTGATGTAGGGGCTGCAGCCCGCATGATGTCTTCCGCCAGATGCCAGTTTTGGCCCAAGTTTCTGCATTCTGGTTTTGGCTTGCCTTGCAGTTGCTGCTGAGCTGAAAAGTGACAGTCGCGACGTTGCTCTGCGTTGCAGACAGGCAAACAACTTTGCAGTCACGCCTTCAGTGATCTTCTTGTCATTATCACATGAGGCGCCGACAGCAGTACTCTACGTGTTCAGCAGACCAATAACGCAGATGAGACTCCTGACATGCAGGCATAAGCTTTAGCCGCAGAGCTCTTCAGATCGAGGGCACGCCTCATCCTCGTTGCAGTTAAAATTCCCAACATGCTCAGCCTGCGGCATTCAGTCTCCAGCAATGAAGAAAGGCTAGACGGAGATGTCATGCAAGGCAGGAATTTTGATGGTTAACTCAACAGTTCTTGGATGAAACGCGGAAGGCTGAGGAAGTTCACCACACAAGAAGGTGGAGCTGCTGAAGCCCTCGATGCTCCCTCCGGGCCCCCCCGCCTCACCAATCCGTGTCGAAAACGGCGGCACTTCGACCTGAGAGAGGGGGGGAGAAAGCGCTGATTTCCAAGCAGAGGACGAAGCTCCGCTGGGCCTTCGCAGACTTCGCCTCCTTCTTCGGCTGGAGCTTTGGCCGCGGTTCGGAGCGTTCATGCACCTGACTCTGGCTATTCTGGCTCTGGCAGGGAGCAAAGGACGTCCCTGCGCCCGCGACATCCGCGACATGGCCTGTGGTTGACTTGTGCTGACCCGCTGTGAATGGCTTGCGGCAATGATCTGCGGATGGCTCGTGGAGATACGATGTTGGCGATGCGATTCCTGGCGACTCACTAGGCTTCGTGCACAGCTTGCGTTTGCAATTCCACAGACCTGAGGGCGCTGCTGCTTCAGAGGAAACTCCCGTTCTGGGCATTGAAGCGTGTGCATCGTGCGCATGCTCTCGTCGGGCCTGCAAGCAATTAAAGTTCGCACTTTGCAGCTTAGAGTTCACAGGGACGCCTCAGGCGTCCCCTTTCGCAGCTGTTGTGTTGAAGGCTCCTGCGAACATGCATGGCAAGCGGCGAGTGACGACCACGATTCAGGCATGGCTCTGAGGTTGCAACCGTTCCATGCGGCTTCACCAAAAAGACAACACCGGCAATCACCTCAATACTTCGGATTGAACATAGTCTTGGCTCGTCATACTCGTCCATGTTCATAAGGGCAGAGAGAGGCATCCAGAATCACAACATGTCTCTCTAGGAACTATTGCTTAGGAGTTGGCGTGATCACGAATTGTTGATGGGCGACACACATGTCACTTGCGCATGTCGAACTAGCTGTTGAGCTAATGAAGCCTCCAGACCGTGTAGGAAGCTTGCACTTGGCGGGGAAGCTGCTAAAGCTGATCAGCCCGTGACAGCAAGAAGCAGCACGATGAAAACTGCGCCAATCACCTAGGTTGACTTCAATTCGAGAACAAAAAGCCCGAACTGTGCACCGGCACAGTGTAGTAAGGTGGAGACCGACAGAGCTCGGGCACCATCACAAGCAGTACCCCATGGGCTCACGCCCCGGTCGACTACCTGCAGGACGGAGAAAACTTCAAAAATGTGTCACATTGCAGGGTTTGGCAAGCCTGAGTGCCAATGGCGATGCCGATGGTTGGCGTGGTCACATCTGAACCAAGGAGAGGCACCTTCGCCTCAAAAGAAAGCAGAGCGCGGAGCAGCAGGGCAGCAGAGTGTAGTGTAGAGAGTTCTGCTCCAAGTGCCGGCCTCTGCTTCCTCCAAGGCGCGGTCGCTGTGGGTCGGTTTCGCCGTCTCGCGGCCCTCCAAGGGCGGTGCTAATTTCTCTGCTAATGCAAGATCAGCAGCACGGCTCAGCAAAACGGGTTTGCCTCCACGGACTTTGTTGCTGCGCCGGAGCTTGCCTCAGTGGCCAGCAAAGCCTCTAGCCTTTTGCAGCCCTGGCTCTGAGGACGCAGCCTGCGCATTCCCGGGCTTCTGCACCTGGCGCGACGCTTCATGTGCTCTCTGTTAACGGCATCAGCAGCATGAGCGAACATAGGGAGTGTCAGAGCATTTCAGTGTGAAGCTGGTATTCAGTCATGCAGTCAAATCCAGTGAGCATACTCGTTCCGGGAATTGCACGTCAGGAAGTGCTGGAGCTGACATGTCCAGCCTCGAACTCCTAAGACAATTTGTTTGAAAAAACTCGCAAATGCTAGTGATAGTCTAGGTCCCTGAGACAAATGCAAGTCGGAAAACCTCGCAATGCTAGTGATGCTAGTTTGGTCTAGGGCACTGTTTTGCCGCTGCGGCACCACCCCGCTCCAAAACCATGCCCGAGCACTCCGCCAGCCGTCCAAGAGATCCAGCGATGAAGCCAAGGCTTGCCCTAATTAATTGCTTTTGTCTCTAACCATGCTTGTCTTTTGAGGAATGTCCTCGGCCAAGAGAACCGAAGACAAATCAGTAGCATTCTTGCTTCTCTGGGAACCAAGTCAATAATAGTTCCGCTGCATGCTTTCTGCTTGTCTGATGATTTTCTGATATTCTGATAACCTTTTCACCGTTGGTCTTTCGCTTCTCACGAAACCACATCGTAGCTATAGTCCGTCTGTTGCAAAGTATGCCGGCAGCACGAGCGACGAGAGGAGAGCTCCAGCTTTGGAAGATGCATTTAGCTGTGTCCTTGACACGTGCTATGCATGGCTATGTCATATGCCAAGACACGATCTTTGCATAGCATAGCGCGAGAGCCAGGCGCACTTGACACGACCGTTTTCTGGTCTGTTGCTTTGGACCTCCAACACAACAGTTGTAAGTCGCAGCGCTAGAGGAGTGAAGCACTGAGTCTGACTGCGGCCTACCTGGCTGCCATGGGAGGTGCCGTGCCTGGGCTGCCTGTGTCGAGCACAATTCACGACATGCTCTGGTGTAGGGATGCGCGTCTCGATTCCTTTCCCAACGTCTTTCCATGTGATGCCTCCAGCTTGGTTCTGAGATCCCCCAGCTCCACTGCCTTTGGTGCCTCCGAGAGAAACGCGCAGGGCCATCGAAACACTCCCCGGAAATGTGAGTGCCTTTCGCACCCCCAGGCTTGCCTTGCTCGAGGCTGACTGAGAACATGAAAACTCCATGATGCCACACGTGAGCCCGTCACTCATCAGGGACTGTAGAGCACTCCCTGCGCTGGAGGTCATGTGCGTCCCCCTCATAGCAGGCTGGCATTCCCATGCCACCACGAGTCAGACATGAAGGGACCCGGCATGGAGAGCCGAGTCTGCTGGTCATCTGCAACCCCTCAGCTCAGCTCTACGCGAAAGTCACCCACGAAGACTCCCTGTTCGGGCCCTAATCACGGCCTGGCATCTCTGCGAGATGCCTGGTCAGACAGGTTGGACAAACCGCCGTTTCAAGAACCTCTGCTCTGGACACTTCGTGCCACGTGCCTCTTACGCCGCAGAGCCGCAAAGGCTGATGAGGTTCCACTTTCTGTAAGTGTTTGTGAAGGGAAGATGCATCTACAATTGAACGCTCGCTCTTACATTGTCAGTGCGGCTTTCGAAATCGTTCACCTTCACTGTTGCTTAACTTGTTTTTGCTCGTGACCTTGTGATGTGCTGCTTGCATGTTTGGGCATGCTCAAGCTGCGAAGGGTCCAGAAGCGACACGAGCCATGCTACGCAAAGCGCAAAATAACGGCGGGGGGCGCACCAGCAGCCAAGCTGCCAAAGCTCCGACCGAGGCTACAGAGGCAAGCGCCAACGCTTCCCCGACGGCCTGGCTTAGCGGCTTGGATGGCGGGTCCTTGAGAGTAGAGGGCATAAACACGAGCCGAAAGTTCCAAAGGCTCAGCCGCTGCGCAGAGTGGGAGAGCCACATGAGGCCTCTCACGTTGTCTTCCCATCCGCCGGCCTGCCAGACGCAACTTCATATTGCTTTGGTTTCCGTGGTTTTGAGACTCTACACAAAAGAGGGAACACATGGGACAAAGGTGGGAGGGAGGGAGGGGCAGGGGCAGCAACTCGGCTGCAAAAATCAGATGCTGGGTGAGCTCCGATTTTCGGGAGGTGCAAAGTCAAAAACATACCACTGTAACAAACATGCTCATCGGCACACAGCTGAAAACACCTTGCGACCATCAATCCACACCGTCGGCACAGAAGGTCTGAGTCAGCAGCAGGCTCGTCGCCTGTGAGGCCTGCGAGAGGCCCGCGCCTTGCTTGCTTCTGTACAGAAGCTCTTAGTCGGGGCAGCAGGCGTGTCTTCGGTCTGGGCTATTTCTTGGAAAGTGGTAGGCAGAAAGAGACAGGCGCCTGCAGAAGGAGCCCTCTCAAAGGCTCAGGGACTGGTTGAGTTCTTCCTTCGGCACGCAGCCTCGAGACCGGCGCTGCGACTCAGATCTCTTCTGGATCTCCAGAGCGAAGAAGCCGGCCGCGACCTGCTCGACGGTCATGTGAGAGGCTTGGTGGAGCGTCTGCAGCAACTCGTCCAACGGTGTGGCCTGGTAGCGCTGGCGTCCTTCCTTATAGCATGCGTCGGAGCCGCCGTTGATGAGCTCGTGCGGCGAGTAGCGTGTCATGCGCTGGTGCACGAACGTCTCGAGCACAGCGCCTTTTGCATGGCCGGCGCAGACCCACACGACAGCAGGGTGGCATGGTGCTGGCGTAGGTACTGCCGCATGCGCTGGATGAGCTGGGGCAACTGGACGATGCTGGTGCGGGACAAGAGGACGCGGCCGACCTGATGTATTTGTTGAAGTGAAGGAGGTGCACCAGGCAGATCTCCTCCGTGCCGTCTTCAAGGTCGAGCTGGCCCATGGTGCCAGTGCTTGCTCAGGCCCACGCACAGCAAGTCACTCATGTGGCGAAACAGCTGCTGCGAAGATCCAGCTTTCTGGCTATCTTCGTGGCCCAGGGCTCGCCAGCCGGCTTCTTGAGGTAGTGCAGGGACCACAACCAGCTCGGGTGCCACTGCAGCGCACACTCATGCGGAAGCTTTGGAAGAGGTCTGAAGCACATGACCACGTCGAGGAGTGGGAGCAGACGGTGACGGAAGGGCTCCAGGCGCGAAGCAACACTTGTAGCTGGAGTAGCCGCCCTTGCATAGTATTAAATAGCCGCTCTTCGCACTGCCGGAGCGCAGCCGGCCACTGCGCAGTCATCGCGGTGTGATGAGGGAGGTGCCATGAGAAAAG